GTATTTTCCCTTTTCAAGGTTAGTTTTGAAAAGCGTGTTCCAATATAGACATTATGAAATGTGCGCGGATTGACTTGACTAAGAAACTCGTTTTATCTCTACTATTAGGTTGTTTGAAAAAAATTGTCCTTTTTAAACTCATGTGTTTTTGTAGCTCTGTATCTCAATAAATATATATTTATCTACTGTATCGTAGTACATACTGGTCGATAGAGAATTTTGTACTCTATACATTGATGCTGTTCATACCTCCATCGGAGCACGAAATAAATTTCTAAATATTATTCTCTCCCAACTACCTACACAGCATGCTCTGGTATCCAGCGTGGTATTAGCCGGGCAAGTAGTTGTTTTCCGACAGACGTTTAGCAGAGCCTAATGTGTAGGTAGTTGGGAGAGATTAATATTTCAAAATCTTTATTTTAGAAAAAACAACGATAAAAATAACAACAACAATGAAAATTAATTGGCGCTTCGGGGCGACTTCATTGATTCCAGTGGCGCATTTGCTTTTTCAGCTGCAGGAAAACCTGGAAAAACCTGCAGCACCACATCATCTGAAGATCTTGATCTGCCAATGTCCTCTCTCTCATAAAACAAAATGTAGGGTGTCTCCAGAGGCTCCAATAGATTTAATACACCGCCAGAACACTTCGTGACACGACTATCTTCAAACTTAAACCAGTCCGTTTTGTTTTTGACCAAGGCGTAAAAATGATCATATTCAACGCCAGAACCACAGTGAACAATGACTGCATGAATATTATAATAGTAGTCTGCTAGATTTAAATGTTCATATATTTCGAAACTCCGTCAGAGGTTGAGTCATGTTTAAAGATCATCAGTGTTATTATTAGATTGACTGGTGCCTCAGGTATACTTGTTTCCTTATAACAGTCACTTAGTTTGGCGCATGTTTGGCAATACAGTCGATCATCACCTGTTAAAAATTCCATTTTTGGATGATTTAACAGTAATCTTTGCACGGACTGGCTAGATGAAGTTCCAGAAATTCACATGAGTTTTCGCTACCTCTTGAACATTTACTACAAAGTAAACAAGTGAGGATTTTTCCAGCAAAAGATTTAGAAACACAAGACGAGATGGACTGTACGGAATCATTAAATCCAGAGCGGTCAGGAGTATTGATTCTGCTATTGTTTTGCTCCCGAAGAGTATTCAACAAGAACTCCAAAAATTCGGAACAATCGTCTTGTTGTCCTAACGAGTATCAAGTGAACTTCAAATACTCCAGGAAATCGGTTGGAGGAAAAGATGATACATTCTTAAGAAATTGCCGCTGCATGAATAGGTGTTTGAGTTTGATAAATAAGTAGGAAACATTCCCGATCTCGTTTTACATTAAAACCTCGTTCTTGAAATTTTTCGTCATGAACAACACTTGTAAAATGCTATTCATGTAGCAAGTGTTTCCTAAATTATCCAATCCAATTTTCTTCTCTACATTTTTAGAACAACTCTCTACTGATTCGCAAGGAGGAACAGGTTTCACAGAATCTCCATGAGAACCATTTCTCAAGCTGCGATCGATCCTTCCAAATGAAGAAGGGTTTCGTAGAGGGATCGATTCAGCTTTCGCTTCATGAAGCTCTTCCACTGAAAGGGAACCAGAACTACGAGGACTGCAACTCATATTTGGGGGGCAAGAATGGCCTATGTCCATTTACCGCACTGAAAAAGAAGAAGGTGGATCAATCACTTGTATTATATCGAAATTATTTTCGATATATTAATTTTTTTATACGTATGTATCTCTCCTCGATTGTTTTCATTTTCGATTTAATCTTCTCCATCTCCTGAAGAAAAGACCGTTCCAGTATTTGGGAGAAGTGCTTGTTTCGAATTGATGTGATGAAGACCCCGTGAATTTTGGACGCTTCATCATGGACTCATCCATTGGCGTTTCGAAATATACATACACATGTGACGGATGACATAAAATTTCGTATAGGTCAAACTGGCTTCAAGAATAGTTCAGGAAATACAAAACTGTGAAAACTGATCACGATGAATTCCGCTATATCATAAAAATAATGCTCTAATAAAAAGTTTTTTAATTTATTGTTGTGGAATTGGCCGCGGTGGTAGTGCGCCCGACTCACGATCGGAAGACCGTGGGTTCGATTCTCGCCTCGACTAGATATTTTTCTCGAGAGAATTCATCTAGTTGAAGCTGGAATGATTCTGCAAGCGTGTTAGGAATCACACGTTGAAAGGTAAGACCTCGTTAGTCCTTAGCTCGCACAAGTTTCTCAACTTCTGAGAGTTGTCGTTCGTATGGGGGCGACAGCTGATTAACGGAAAAACAGATTTTTAAACAGATATGTGAATAGCTACGGCAGACTATTTATTGTATAATTTTAGCCCCAGGTAATGAGGTGAGTTGGCCATCAGATTGTATTTATACGGTTTGACATGAAAATTATTACTGTTTCGAGTGTCGATTTTATGAGAGAATTGAATACGGTCAAACTTATCAAAGACGAAAATATCTATAAGAGTCACAATCTTATGAAGATTGAATAGGGACCTACACTTTGATCAACACCTGAGGTAATTCGCACAATCAGTTCTTGATCAATAAATACATTCGTGGTAAGTGGAGAGGAACCCCAAAGGAATTTGAACTCATTTATTTTGAAGTGAAACACTGTTTTTTCTAAAATTTAACTCATTTTTTAGCACGTTTTTATTAGCTTCACCTCTATGTATGTATGTATGTTTGTTTGTTTGTTTGTAACTCTCCTTTTCATTTCATATTTATTACCGTTTAAATTCTCGGGCTCTGTATTTGACAGAATTATTGACATTATTGCTTGATCTATTCGCGGGCAGATGGCGGTGTACGTAACTTCCTTGATATAACTTTACATGTATTTATTCATTTGGAAAAATCAATGGTCATTTTTTTCTTAACAATATACGGCTGACCAAAGTTTAGATAAAATAAATATAGTTTTAAAAGACTAAAAAACACGCTTTCATAGCATACGAAACTAAAAAAT